ATCATATGAGATCCGCTTAAATAACCTTAATCTCTTTCCTCTGAGTTATAGGCTGTTACGCGGGGATTGGATAAAATCTTCCGTATCGTTCGTGGCTTGGACTGAGCTCTCATGTGTGACGAGTTTTTCCAACTCGCCACTACAATTAATAGCCGGGGACATAGCTTCAAGCTGTTTGTGCCCCACGGGTGATTGGATGTGAGGAAGTATTTTTTCTCTAACCGGGTCGTGGACCCGTAGAATAACCTACCGGAGGCAGTTGTCGTGTCCCAATCTGTGGAAACATTCAAAAACCGACTTGATATACATATGTTACAGCACAACGTGAACTATGTGACAAATTAACCTTGAAACACTAACGCACGATGTGACTGTCTATAGTATCTGACTGAAAACTTGTTAACATTGTTTCTAATTCTTGAGATTTTGATGTGACAGATAGGGCGTTCAAAGGCGAAAGCCAATTTTTCCCCTCAAATATACTGACCGACTGACTTCCGACCCTTTTCAATAAAGTTTAAGTCTGTTTGGTGTTTTACCTTTATTTTAACTTACGCACATCCATTTTTGATCGTCATATTTATTTTGATGAGCTGTTATCTGTATAATTGTTTCTGGGATTTAGTGCATGCATTCTTTCCCTTAACCAGTTGTGTTCTTCTTCCTGCATTTGTACCATCAGTTTTAATCGATTTCCTTCGTTGATGTTTGAGCAGTCGCAAGTGGTCCACGCTGCTGCTTGGACGTAAGGACCTCAAGGGTACTTGCGGAACGGTGCCATACTGCCCAAGACTCTGCAAGACTCTTTGAGTCAAGAGGTCTACCCAGCCAAACTGGCCAGTCCATTAGCTGGGTCACTTTACTCAAAGTAAATGACATATGTGCATTCTGCGTGTATTGATTCGCGGAGCCATTAAATGACATGTTCAGTTTGAGTGCCGATATTATGATTAGTTTACTACCCCCAGATTTAACAAAATGATTCATTACCTTAAATGCCGAATTTTGACGAGCTGCAGACATTTTTTCACCAGAGGTGATTACTGATTGCCAGAGAAAAATATAATATACAGATTTTTCAAATCATCACTGCTAGTAAACAAAATGGGGATGGTCACTACAGTTTAGCCCCATCACTCATAAAGTACTGCGTGTTGACAGGGCTAGTTTTTGACTTCTTGAATATCGTTGATTAGTCAAGGGCTGGTTTCACCTAGTTCGGACTAAGGATACGTTGTTGAAGATTTTTAAGAGAAATGATTTTCATATACTTGTCGAAAGGGATTGAGGAAATGTCTTCATTAATCTTGAACCTTATCTAACGTGACCTTCGAAATCGAGTGTGTTTAACTGAGGTCGCACGCAATTTCTGCTTCCCTGCTCTAAAGATGGCTGCACGTAACTGGAGTCGAGGTGGTTAGTATCTTTTTATTATAAATTTTATTGTGATATTAAGGTCCTGGTTATGGTGGTGGGTATATGGGCCCAAGTTCCGGCAGCATACCGGGTGCCATGGGTTTTTACGGTAATCCAATGGACCGCCGATCAATGTACAATACGAGCCCAATGGGCAAGCCTGACAGTTGGGGCGGGAGTTACCGTGATGACCCTTATCGCCGTCCGCGCGATGACTATCGCGGTGGAAAGCGACCCAAGGGGAAGAGTCCAATGGGTGACAAGCGCCCCCATCACGATACTTTCGTTCCTCGAAAAGATAACCGTCCGGTGAAGCGTCCCCAGTCCAGTGGCCACTACGAAGTTAAAGTGCCCCGGATGCCCCTTAATATAAAGTCTGCGACGTTCCCCGAGGCCAAGCTGCTTCATCCGCACCTGTCTATTCCAGGAGACTTTTCTAAAGCCTGCTTTTCTTGGCAGGATGCCTTTCCAATGCACGAGCCAATGAAACTAGGCACAAAGACCGATATCTACGTATGACGTCGCTAGTTTTGTTTCA